GCGCTTTTCACCGGCCTGGTGGAGCGTGTAAGTTTCGGACAGCCAAATCGTAACGGCCCGCGTTTAAGTCGGCGCCCAATCAAACGTTGCGATTTCACCTGGGCAAAGTTCCTTACCCGCCCATAAGGCTTCCTCGTCTTTTGCTTAAAACCACTTGTCACTTGTCACTGTCTAACTGTTTTGATCAATTGTCATTGACTGTCAATGATGGGTGTTTGTCTGCTTGTTTGCAATGAACGCAACAAAGTAAAGTGGTCGTTTGGCTCGCAGTCGCATAAACAACTTTATGCGGCCCGAATTGGGGGCAACAACAAAGTGGAGTCAACTTTGGCCATTTGGCGTAGCAAAAAGTCCCGAAGTTTCGATTGTAAACAGATTAGCGAACTTGGATAGTGACCAGCGAGCGGCCAGAAGGGCTGGAAAAAAGTGGCCGCCTTGATGCTCTAACTAATTAGAGCCACTTCAAAGGTATGCGGAAATTGAATGGAATATCTGAGCGAAGCACAGATAGAGCCGGGGAGAGCGAGTGAGAGGAAACAGAGACCCCTCCGAGGACAAATTGAAATGTATTCCGCAAATTTTAATTGGGTTATTGCGCGACGCCGCCGACACCTCTTCGTGTACCTTCAATCGTAATTAATGAACTTTATATTGAGTTAGCCCGGCGCCCCCCAAGCCCCATTTTCGCTCTAATGGTTATTATAACGTGGAGGATTCGTTACCGGCTCGTCCCCGATTTAATTACCGGCGACAACTTGGGAGAGATTGCCCGGATTCAATAGACGCCTCGCCAAATTCCTGTTTTTTTTGCCTCAAACTGGAACGGCGACAAAACCCCTGCAGTGTCTAAAGGTTTTTGTCTAAGCAAGTCGCGATTTTCGCGTTATTAGGCTGCAAAAAATATTCTTTTGGCAATAGCTGAAACAAATCAAGATAGAAACTAGTGTATCATTATACCGTGCCATTGAAATTTGCGAGTTGAACTTTCCTTTTACCACTGAAGTTTCAAGCAAAATGTTTTTTTCTTGACACCCACCCTTTCAAAAGGTAGACGCAAAACATCGACTCTGAATTTTTAACGTTAAATCAAGCTGAAGAACTATTTATTTTCGAACGTTTCGCTAGCGCGGATTATTTGGCACCTTCAGCATGCACCCACTCTGTTTCAATCATCGAGGAAAACTGAGTGTCCATTCAGGAGCGTAGCAGGCATCGGTTTTCTCTCTTGCACCCATGGCAGTCCAAGAGGGAGGCCAGATAGGCGGTGCGTCGCTACGTTCGAAATTGATGTCTACACAGCTTGAGAATTAGAAGAAACACAAAAATTGATATACGGATCTACTTAGGTGCTCCTAGAAATAATCTAATAATGGAGATTTCTCTGTTTTGGTCCTGACGTTTCGCTAGCCGCTGAAATTATTCTTTACCGACGATTTACGCGTTTCTTCTATGAAATTTTGTTTACTTTTAGATTATGGTGTGATAATGGTACTGTGCCGTTTAATTTTTCGAGTCAAAACAAAAAGTGTCTACAGTTTTATAACTTACCAACAGTTACTTACAGTCTTCCTACCTTTACAGTTTTACAAGCTCTACCAAACTTGGTTAGAACTGTCGGGCTGGTCACTGAAAAGTACAAACATTTCTCTTCCAAACCAGCTTAAAATGTGTAGAGTTTTAATGGCATCAGATCTTATGAAAAAAATCAGTGACGTGCCCGAAGGGCTCGTCACAGCAAACGCATTGTGGAGAGTTTAATGTCGAAATTATGCCGAGCCCTTTAGACACTACACTGATTCAAATGCAAAATACTCTAAATTTGACGATAGATTAGATTTTGTGAAAAAATCAGTGTCGTGCCCCAAGGGCTCCGCACAACAAACGCGTTATAGAGAGTTGAATGTCGAAACAACTGGTTAAAACGCCAAAATACCATAAATTTATCGATGCTTTTTCGAAAACGCTCTTAGAACGAATTCGATATTTTGATCCGTTTTTGAGATACAAATTTTTGGCATTTTTATTTGGCAGCTTCAGATATTTGTTTTCTTCGAGTGTGCCCACTCTGTTCAATCATCGAACAAAAGTGAGTGTCCATCCAGGAGCGTAGCTGGCATCGGTTTTCTCTCTCGCTCCCATGGCAGTCCAAGAGGGAGGCAAGATAGCCGGTGCGTTGCTACGTTCGAAATTGATGCCTACACGGCTTAAAGCTTCAGAATTAGAAGAAACACAAAACTTGATATACAGATCTACTTAGGTGCTCCTAGAAATAATCTAATAATGGAGGTTTATCTGTTTTGGTCTTGACGTTTCGTTAGCAGCTGAAATTATTCTTTACCGACGATTTACGCGTTTCTTCTATCAAATTTTGGACACGACACCGATTCAAACGCAATAATACTCTAAATTTGTCGATAGATCAGATTTTGTGAAAAAAATAAGTGTCGTGCTTTGGCACAACAAACGCAGCATATAGAGTTTAATGTCGAAACAACGTAATGTTCAAAAGGCTCTTAGAACGAATTCGATATTTTGAGCCCTTTATAAGATATGAATTTTTGAACTGTTGGCAGCTAAGCTTGTTTTTTTAGACGCTTGACAACGTTACTTTACATCTTTTGCTCCATGACAAAAGGATTATTTGGCAACTCTGCGTCATTTTTTGTGACTCCTCGCCCTGGACTCAATTGAAGCATTTTTGCCATCCTGCAAAACGCATCCATTATTCCAACACTTTTACGGAACTTAAGTTGAAAGTCCCAATCAAATTTTCCCTTTTCTCTACTAGTATCTAACAATTATATTCAAAACTGGCAAGTTTGAACGTAACTACTCACCATCTCTCATGCATGCCGATGTGTGCGAGAGAGATAATCGATGACAGTTACGTTCCCGATTGGCAAAATCAGGATCAAATTCCTTCAGAATCCATCGGCTGTCACTTTCGATGAAAATCGACATTCTAACCCATAAGCGAGGTAATCGCTTAATTAGGGCGTTGCGATGAGAGTATGTGTGAAACAGGAAAGTTGTAGTTGCGTTCCGGTAGCGGAATGTCAAGAAATATGGTTTAATTGGCATCGGTAGCCGATTTAATTAATACGTTTCGATGGCATGGTAGGCCGTGAGCGGTTCCCAAGCCGATTTGCAATTGTTCGAATTCCCTTGCGGCCGGACGAGGCCGAACTGCGCCCACCCCGTTCGGGTCATTGCGACGTTGATGATGATGATTATGGGGGGTGAAACGGGAAAAGGTCGCCCCCCCTGAATGAAATCTGGCTCATCAACTCATCGTCCAATTCCGAAGCAATAAAGCTGTCTAAGAAGTTTATTGCCGGGGTGTGGGGATGCGGTCTCCCTTCGAGAATTGGCTTAAACATTTGTATGTATTAGGGGGAGATTATGCTAATTGGGCGGAGGGTGACGGCCAAAGGGGGAGATCGGTCGCTCGCTTGCTCGGACTCGTGTACAAAGTGGCCGCCTAATGTTTCGATAATGTTTTATTGAGGCTCCGGTTTCCAAATCATCATGTTTGATTTTTTTTCTGCCTTGAAGTGAGCAGTGGCGTGCCAGCCTCAAAACTAACGTATTCTTGGCAGGCGCGAATGCGGCTTTAGGCCTCAAGCCGCCCATTTACACATGCATATTTATAAACATTATCTTCTATTACGGAGCGCCGAGTAAAGTATAAAGCTGGCAAGCGAGGAGGCTTCCGGAGCCGGGGCTTTTGAGAGCTTTTATGGCTCAGTTTTATCCCGTATAAGTAATATAAAAGCAGGCGATTTGCAGCACTCCATAAATATTTAGCTTTAATTCTAAAAGCGAGTTTCCGAGACGCACACTTTATATATTCATTATTTAGACGCCCGTGAACCGCCCTTTCCCCCCAACATTTTACACCTTCCATGACTAAAGGGGGTCCAGCCTAACCAGTTCAGTGTAAAAAATCATCATTAACAGTCGCCCTCCGCAATTGTTCTTCGCACGATGAGTGGGGTGGCAGGTTGGCCGCCCTTTTAGCCGGCGGGGGCCAATGCGGAGCGATCGAGTCGCATCCAATGCGTGAATGAGCCATCGCGAATTGGATAATGCACGGGGTGCAAAAAGGGGCCACTTTTGCATTCGATTCGGGCTATTAATGTGTGAATGGTGCGTTTGTCAGTCACAATTCATTAACTTTGTTGACGCTTCTTTGAGGTTAGGACGCTGCTCTTGCGATATGGGGTGACTGAAAATTTTCGTGGCGTTTGTGTTTACATTTTACCTATATAAAATTGAACTGTGAGCGCTGTTTATTTACTCAAGCTAAGCAATGCTCTTTTCCTAAAGCAAAAAAATTGAATATGTATTTCATCTCATCATTAAATCGAATATAAACAAATAATTCACTTATAAACTACTAACTAAAATAAAGTTTTAGATTTCATTATTATCCACAACTATGCTGTTGACAATTTTCCGCTGGGTTGTCACGTTTCGCCGCAAATCAAAACCGTTTTCAACCCCTAAACTGCGCCCCCATTTTACCATTTTCAGTGTTTTCGTGTTTAAATTTTATTTCTTCTAAAAGTTCGAACTTCAACAACACTTCAACTTCGAGCGGCAATTACAAAATGACGGTCAACTTTAATCAGTACATTTTCTTCCTTAAAAGTATAACATTTCCCAAAATGTTCCTTGAGCAGAAGCAACGATACGAAATTATTTTATTTCATAATTTTCTGGTTCAGTTGTAATTCGTTAAAGTAAAACGTGCGGCAAAAGATATTTCAAAAACCAATTTTTACCAAAAACTGGAAGAACTTTTGAATCGAGTAATACCGGTTAAGCGTCAACATACTTTAATCTATCGTTGGGACACCCTATATTCATCTACACTGATAGGAGTATTTCATGTGCACAAATCATTTGATGTGATCAAACCGTTTTCAACCCCTAAACTGCGCCCCCCTTTTTCCATTTCCAGTGTTTTCCCATTTAAAATTTATATTTTCTTACAGTTATAACTTCAACACTTCAACTTCGAGAGGCGATTACAAAATGATGGTCAACCTTAATCAGTAAGTACATTTTCTTCCTTAAAAGTATAACATTTTCCAAAATAGTTTATAATTTTCTGGTTCAGTTGTAATTCGCTAAATTAAAAACTGCGGCAAAAGTTATTTAAAAAACCAATTCAACTTACTTTAATCTATCGTTGGGACACCCTATATTCTTCTACACTGATACGAGTATTTCATGTGCACAAATAAAGTACCTGCGTCCTGTTGAAAATAGTCGCACCTAATCGCGCAACGTTGTACGCGGTTTTTAGGGCCGAATCAATTCGGATGCAATCGGATGTGGGCGTTCGTGTTCGTTGCACTGTTGCGCTCCTTGTCTGGCATGAAGCCGAAGTGTTGCCCCACGGGGCAATGTTGCCCTGTTGATGGAAAAAAGCCAGTTTTATTGAGCAGGAGAATGCCTTTAAAAATCGAGCTGAAAATTGGCGAGTACAGGCCTGCGCCTTCATTATGGGCATATTACGACTGAAGGCCCGGTACTCAACTATTAATAACCGACATACCGACTGAACTTTTCATTATTTCTTCGTTATTTGGCCGACACAAAAGCAGTCAGTAGTCGTTTATTTTGATCGGTTCGCACTGGCTTTAATAAGTTGGAAACCGACATATCCGATAGAAGCCAGAGTAGGCGCTGGTAGGCGACAGTCAAAGTGACAGAACCCGTGTGACACCAGCGCCAGTTCCATCGATTCCGCGCAAATAATTGATTAATGAGGGGCTGGAATTCACACGCACCAATTCGCTCATTGTTGCCTTATGGGGCCCCAGCTGTTCATTAAGGCACCGGCCCCATTGTGCCATTATCCCACTTTGCGTTTTGTTGTGTTTAGTTGTAAATTGGGCCTAATTTCGACGACCATTACCAACTGTTTCTTGGGCAATAACGACGTCCGATTGTTGCTAATCTATTAAATTAGACACGTTCGCATTGTGAATGGCCGGGCGAAAATGGAAAAGCCCATTCGGTCGTGGAATGGGGATTAGCTCGATCAAATGGGCTTTTTTACCGATTTAATATTTATTATGGAAGGTCTTTTGTGCGAGTAGTGTCTCGGCCGAAGAACTTGTTCTTCGACGAAACGGGCCGATTTATTGACCCGAATCAATAACCGATTAAGGCCCCCGCTCAACCGACTTGTAACGTACGTCCACCTTGGAGGTCCTGCCCGTCAGAAATCCAATATGTGTATTTAATCGAATTTAACACATGACAGTTTGCATGGTAAATGGCGATAATACGTATAATATAAGAGTGGACGGCGATCGGGTTTCCCGTGCATTCTCGCGCCCCGACCAAAACCCCGGACGCACGTCCCTGGTTCGGCCTGCCGTAACGAAGGCCCGAACTTCGAAAGACACTTTCTCATCGAATCAATGAACGCGACAAATATCCTGTTTTGTGGCATCGTTAAAATGCGCACCGAGAGAGGAAAAACAGCAACGGTTTTTGATCAACATGTCATTCGAGGGCCCGTCCGATTAACGTTAATTACACCGTTGCTGGCCGATCGGCTTTTTGCCGATTGCTCTCCAGTAATTAACGACCACTCCCCGTACATAAATGGAAGATATCTGAATCAGTTATTGTCACTGTCAGACTGACAGTGACACTGACTGTCGAGGTCAAATGCCCTGGACGGCTGTCAAGTGGACAACTAGCTGTCTGGTTGCCTAATTGCCAGCAAGATGGTTCACATTGGAGGTATGCGCAAAACATTTATATTGGCCGCAGGAATGCGGTGAACGCACAAAAGTAAAGCGATATTATTCGAGCCGATGTGTATGAGAAAATATTTTCGAGATGGAATAATTCATTAAACCGGTAATGGCTTATTTTGCAACAAAAAGGCAGCCATCGATATTGACATCATTAGCCGGGAATGCTCGGTGTAATCCGAGGCGATTTTATTCATTTTAAAATCGAGCGATTTGTTTTTCTGTAGTTGGCCGGTAATTGAGTGCGGCCAGGTCAGTGGCGTAGGTTGGCACAACCAGCCTCTCGCCCTCCCCCCCTCGGCCTGCTGCTGCCCCTCGCCAACATTTAATTGCTGTCCGGCGAGAGAATTACGAATCGATTCCTGTTATCTGGGAGTTTATCTGTCTAATTAGTGAAAAATGCTCCCATTAAAAATAATTAAGACTAATCACGAACACTTAGACAGCCGGTTAACGTTTCGGGCTTGAAGCGCACCAGAAACCAGTTTGGTTGTCGCTTTTATTGACAAGTTTGACGATTCGAGCCGGACCAACATCCATACAAACCTCATTCATATATCGGGTGATTTCGAAAAGTTTTCATGCTTCTTTATCTGGGTGGACTGGATGGATTTTCTGGCAACACTATGTTTTGGGGCTTCTATCAGGATACGAGATTGTATTGAAACGAGTCGTTTTTAAGAGTAGGCACCTAAATCCAAGCACGCCACTGTATGGAAAGAGTTAAGGTTTTTGGAAAACAGAAACTTAGCTTCTTCCTAGCGTGAATAATAAGGGATTTTTGGGGAAGTGAGCTACTAATAGAGCGCAAAAATCCGAATATTTTTCAGTTGCTGTATTAAAAGGCGCAAAGGTAAACTTTAGGCCTGGGTAACTCAGTTCCGTTGCTAGGAAAACGTTGATGACTTTTTTACTTGTTTTTAGATTTATTTTAAGGGCATAATTTAAGGGAATAATGTTTTTAACATTTCTTCAAAATTTCGGAATTTTCCAGTTTTAGTAAAGTTACTCTTTTTTCTAAATGCTCAATTTACTAAAGATTCATTTAAAAATACTGACAATCTTAAGGTATTTTTCGCGACAAATTATGAAATACATTTTATTAGAACACTCCCCCCCTTCGTCGCTTTGTAAACAGTTTTGAAATCCCTTTCCAGCTTCGAATTTGGGACAAAAATCAAATCATTTTCTATCAAAACTCGAACTGAATGAGGGAAAGTCTATAATAAATTATTTGGAAAAGTCGTCACTTCCATTCCTTTGGAAACTGTAGAGTTTGTTAAAAAAATTTGGTCTTTTAGTTTTAACTGATTTTTTGTTGCGTTGCTTTCTACTCAAAAACGCTCTATTTTGTAGAGTTTTACTTACAAATATTGACGATCTGGATGTATTTAACGCGAAAAATCACAAAGCATATTTATAGCTTTGTAGTAATTTTACAAAAGTTTTTCGGAGTCGAATTTGGGACAAAAAGGAAAATAAATTTATTTTGTTTTCCCCGAAAACTATTAAAGTTTTTACAAAATCCGATCACAAAACTAAAAGTTTTAAATCAAAAACGCAAAAAAATGTAATTTTCTGATTATTTTCTTCTTTTCTAACAATAATGGGGTTTTTGCAGCCAAAAATGACAAATTCATTTCGCTAGAAAATTCGCTTTATTCATCGGTTTGCAGGGAACTTTAGAAAACCCTTTTCAGCTTCGAATTTGGCACAAAAATCAAATAACTTTATTCAGTTTTTCACCGAAAGTAATTAAGATTATGTTGAAAAAAACGACCAGAGAGCAACAGTTTACAAAAAATAATTAGCAAAATTCACAGCCCTCATCGCTTTGAAGATTTTTAAAGTTCCTAGAAAATTTCAAATCATTTCAGTTTTAGCAAAGTTTTTTAAGCAATTCTCTCTACGCAAAAACGCATTACGTTCTAGTTTTCCTTAAAAATACTGAAAATTTTCAGGTATTTTCCTCGAAAAATTATTAAATCAATTTTATTAGAATATTTGCCTACTTCGTCCCATTGTAAAAAGTTTCGCAATCCCTTTCCAGTCTCGAATTTGGGACAAGAATCAAATAATTTTCTATCAAAAAACGAATGGAATCAGCAAAACTTTATAATAAATTATTTGGAAAATTCGTCACCACTATTCCTCTGAAAACTGTAGAGCTTGTTAAAAAATGTAGTTTTTTAGTTTTGACTGATTTTTTTTGCTTTACTTTCTACTCAAAAACGCTCTATTTTGCAGAGTTTCACTTAAAAATACTGACGATCTGGACGTCTTCTACGCGAAAAATTATAAGATAAATTTATAGCTTTGTAGGAATTTTACAAACCCTTTTTTCAGCGTCAAATTCGGGCCAAAAACGAAAATAAATTTCTCCCGTTTTTCCCGAAAATAATTAAGGTTTTCTCAAAAACCGATTACAAAACTAAAAGGTTTTAATCAAAAACGCAAAAAAGCATTATGTTCTGATGATTTTCATCTTAATATCATCAATAGTGGGGTCTTTTCAGCCAAAAATTACAAAATTAATTTTGCTACAAAATTCGCCTCATTCATCGGTTTGCAGAGAACTTTAGAAAACTCTTTTCAGCTTCGAATTTGGCCCAAAAACCAAATAATTTTATATTGGGTAAAAAAGCCCAAAGTACCTAATTAAGATTATCTTGAAAAAACGGCCAGAGCCAAAGTTTTCAACAAAATTAAGTTTCTTTAAAATTTAAGGTCATTTTAGTTTTAGCAAAGTTTCTATTACGCAATTCTTTCTACGCAAAAAAACGTACTACTTTTAGTTTTAATTAAAATACTGACAAACTTCAGGTAATTTCTGTGAAAGTTATAAAATAAGTTTAATTGGAACACTCGGAACTCCTGAACAGCTTTGTATATATTTTTTGGAACCTTTTGTAGCTTCGAATTTTGGACAAAACCCTAATAATTTTTCCTGGATTTTCTCGCAAAAATATTTCCCCGAACAAAACAAGTGAAAGTTTATAGTCAATTATTTGGAAAACTCGTCACTTTTGTCGCTGTGAATAATTTGGTTTAGGTATTTAAATTCCGGTTTCATCACTTTTAGGTCAATATTTCTAAACAAAACTCGCTCTAAACAGCAAAGCCGCGTTTTTCCTAACGTTTTACTGTAAAATATTGACAAACTGAAAGTCTTTTCGAATACCCGTTTAACCCTTGAATTTGGGACAAAATCGAAACAAAGTTATCTTCTTTTTTTTCGACAACATTTAGGTTTTCTCAAAAAACGACCGGAGAGAGCA